TATGTGTAATGTCTAGGGCTATATATATAATATGGAGTGTGCTATAGAGTATGCTTCACTGATATAAATGCTATGCTGACAGCCTAATCCTATACATGATAACAAGTTCTGTGTTGAGTTGTGCCCTCAAATATAAGTCAGCTATCATGGTGATTTTGCAGCTATAGAGGTGTGTAATGCTTGAGTTGAGAACTATGAGCTATAAATAAAGGATTGTCATCTTATTTGAGTCTCCCCTGAATGAATAGTGCTAAAATAGCGCAAAATAGTACTACAGTAGTGCAAAATAGCGAAAATTAGAGGACCACATTCGCAGTAGTGCTATAATAGTATCATGTTGGCACTACATGGCACTATAGCAAAAGTGATAGTGAAGAGTAGTTATAACTAGTACCAAGTATACTAATTAGTGCTTAGTTGCACTACTGAAGAAGTGTGTCTGAATAGTAGCTCTAATGTAGAGGTTATCTCTGCTAACACTTGCTAATATAGATGAGATTATCTGAATAGTGATAATTAGTGTCAATTTGCAAAGGTTGTTTTTCCAGATGCAGGAGGATTTGCCGGCGGTGCATTAGGTACGACGTCTCGACCTTTGCCCTTGCCCTTTGTAGAAGGTTTTGGGAGCGGACGATGTGGTTCCTCATCGTCATCAGGGAGAAAAGAAGAAGTGGGAGCCTGGTTCGCAGGTTTTCCATTCTTTTCCTCTTCAGGCGGAGAAGGCTGCCTTTGTCGTTTTGTTCCGTGTCCAGGACACTTGGGAAACATATGTTCATCAAACAGTGCTTGAGCAGCCGTAAAGATGACATTATTGGGCAAACGCATGAACTTATGGTTGTGATTACCATCACCAACGCCGAGATAGACCATCAGCTCTGACTTGGGCGATAGCTTGTTCTTGCGAACCCGCGTGGTAAGAAGACATAGGCACCGCGTCCGAAGACGCGTAGATGGCTAATGTCTGGTTTGGAACCATGCAGAACTTCATATGGAGTGCGCCAGTTGAGTCGTTGCATCGGAGTTCTGTTATAGACATGCGCTGCATGCTCGAATGAGAATTCCCACCATGATTGTGGTATGCAAGCGTCGTGACGCATTGCCTCCCCCTTTTCCATGATCGTGCGAATGATTTGTTCAGCACGTCCATTCTGTTCATGGATGTTGGGAGCAGAGGGTATCCTTTCAATCCCACGATCCTTGAGCATGTCTGTGAAGGCGGTCGATTTCAACTCGCCTGCAGAATCAGATTTCCATTTCTGCACTTTGGCATTGAACTGGTTCTCGACATATGCGAGCCATTGCCGTGTAACTTGAAGTGCAGCAGCCTTTGTACGAAGTCCGATAGTCCATACATGCGACGTGTAGTCGTCAAAGTACAGTATCCTGTGCTTGTACTTGTGGTATGAAGGCACGGGAAAATCCTTGAGATCTGAATGGATTAGCTCAAAAGGACGTGTCGCTCGACGAATGTCAAGCGGATGAGGTTGCGATGGCATTTTGCCTTCAGCACATCCTCGACAGATTGAGTCATGAAGAGAGAACTCAACAAGCGGGCACTTTTCCGTGCGTTTCCGTGCATGTTTCAGCACATCGCGCGAAGGGTGCGCGAAACAACAGTGAAGAGTTTCATAGTCAACAGCATTACTAGCTGCGACAGCATATCGCGCCGATCTAGGCTGCGTATGAGTGACATATATTGTGTCATTCTCAAAGCGCGGTTTAAACGCGACTATAAGCCTATCATTCTGATAGAAAGAGATCTCAGCAGTGCTTGCACGTGCTTCCAATCCATCCTTGAGCAATGCTCCTAAGGATATAAGCTTATACGTTGTCAGGCACCAAAATGGATTGGCACCTGGACATGGCTTACAATGAGCTACATAATCATGTGACAGGTAACAATCGGAACCTATCACGTAACCACAGGCGTCAAACATCAAAAAAGCGCAAAACGGTGGGTCCATGTTTTGTGATGTGGCACCTTCCATCATGTCTACCGTCCCCGACAGACCCTCACAATCCCTCGACGAGATGAT